AATAAACTGCTTCTTTCAGATCTAAATTTTATTCAAACGAAACTTTTAAAATTATTTTTATAAAGAAAAAAAGCAGAATTAAACATATTTGTGGTCATTCAACATCATATTGTCCAAAACTTATTCCAAACCACAGCATTTGAGCTTGCCGAGCTGTTCCACTAACGTAAATTGGAAAGGGTAATTTTGCAATTACATCTTCTTCGAGAAAATTAAAGCTTGTAGTTGTATCATTGAAGAACTTGTCGGTGTTTTTATACCGACGTAAATATTTTATTTCATTTTCGTCGTCACAATGTATTATTTCAGCTAAATAATAACGGAACCTTTTTTCCCCTGAACTTTCACCAATACAAAGTCGCCAGCTTTTAAATCAGCATTTCCAAACTTGTTCTCCAGCAGTATTGCTTCTTCCTCTCTTTAAATATGCTCCTTCCAATTTTCCTCGCCACTGCTTTCACTGCTAAGGGATAAGTTTTCATTTTCGGATTCTCAACTTGATGATAATTCCTTCTTGGTGTCCTTAGAAGTAAAAGCTTTTCTTCTTTTTGATAAACTCTTTTGCGTAGAATCTCCAAAAACTTGCCTTTTAGTATTTTTAAGAGTACTTGGTTTTACTTTTTTTAACTGTGATATTTCATATTTTTCGGGAGTGTCTGTTTGAAAAAGTGTCAAGAATAATAAAAATAAAATATTTAAATCAGTCTTGACACTTTTCCAAACATTCTCAAATTGGCTGATTAATTATTGGTAAGTTCTGAGAATTCACTTGTCTGAAAAACAACATGTTTTTGGGAAACATTTATCAATCCAAACACTTCAGAGTCCTTGAGGAAACGTACCCGTCCTTTCTGTAGAAAGTTTAAAATGTCATTTTAAGCTTAATTTACTGCTATTCCCGGAGGTCCTAAGAGCAGAAGTACCACCCTAGTGGATTCCCGTGCATATGTATTTTTTCCCTATTATCGCCCCATTCTGCATCTACCTCTCGTCGGGAACGCAACAGCACCGTGTGTTCGTGTTCACCCCGTACCCTGAGACCCTAGACTCGAAGCGGGACCCAACCAAAGACAAAGGGTAAGTGAATCTCGTATTATAGAATTGACAATAAGTTATTAAATCTGCCAATTGTTATTTGAATTACATTTTATTTTACATATATTTGCTACAAATATTTGCTATTTTCGCTACTTTTATTTACAGTCAAAGTATTGCATTTTTTTCTTCATTATTATTTATCGAATATCATTTAACCAGCGACCTCTTTAGTGTTATACAAACACTGTCAATATGCGAGATTTCCCTCGTGGTCTTCCTCCACTGACCTTTTTTTGGGGAGCTGCTTTAGGAAATGGACATAGCATTTCTGGACTAACAGCAACAGATGTCGAAGGAGAATTAATTTGGTTTCGGTTATTTAGAATACTATAACAGTATTTGGTCTGATTAGCTAAAGCAACACTTGAACAGACTACAACATCACATGAATCGTTTGAAGTTTATGATTGAACATCAAAGTTCTCGGTACTTTCAGATTGAGCGTTAATACCATTGTTGTTATTCTCTAGTGAACGATCCGAAATATAAGAGGTGAGAAATTCGTGTTCTTGGAATATGTCTTGATTAAGGAAATAAGGGTCTAAGTCTTTGACTATGAGTCAAAGACTCAGACTCTTATCATACGAAAGCTTTTCTTCCTTACATCAAAGGTGTCACTGACATAAACGACAAAATTCTTAAACCAAGAGGAATAAAAACAACATTTACCTCCCAACAAAAACTTTCATCTCTTGTCCCATTAATCAAAGATAATATTCCAAATGAACAGCACGGAGTTTATAAAATTCCTTGTGCAGACTGTCCCCGATCCTATATAGGCCAAACAAATCGTAGAATCCAAAATAGGATTTATGAACACTCCATTTCTGTTCGCAATTCCGATTCAATTTTAGCTCTCGGTCAACACCATCTTCATACAGATCACAAAATTGATTTTGAAAGCTCCAAAACCATAGGCCCCATCCGCTTCACTAAAATTATCCGAGAAGCCATAGAAATAGAAAAAAGGCAAAATTGTCTTAATAAAAGAGATGACACCATACGGTTACCTTCTACATGGAGACCTCTCATAAAGAAAATATTGCCCCCTCCATACTCGAGTCAAAATCCCACTGTCAGAAATGTTCGCGACAATCCTCACCCTAACCCCCACCTAGGCCACGTCACCATCGACGGTATAAGTAAACCGTCCCCTGCTTCCAGTCGTAGTAGTGAAGTGACTGTAGTAGTGTCTGGGGACTCAAGAGACTGAGACATCGGGAGCCCTGAGGAAGACATCAGAGAGTATGTCGAAAGCTCGGCCCAATGGATATCGACGCGGTTTCACCAGGAAGACTGGTGAGGTTAATATTAATTTTTATAATAGTATTAATCGTAGCTCTAGGTTTAATTGTACTAACTGAAATTTTTTGAATTAAATTTCCTTCTCGATAAAAAATGAGAGATACTCTAAACCTCATAACGTAAAAAATCTAGCATTACCAATAAATAACGCAATTACCACGCCAACCTTCCAATACGATTTATTCGTGTTTTCCACGTAAACAATAAAAGCTGGAACGATGTCTCTTGAAATAAATAAGATCAACTACCATTGTAACCGTACTTTTTAAGCTCCTTCTTCTGTCAACCCTAAACCATAAAATACATAATGAAAAGTCTCAGTATTGGATTTTATATACCCAAAGAGGATCTTCTTTATAACGAATATATAAAATTTATGAGCTTAAAATAAATGTTATATATGTGAAGTTCTCATATATATTATATTATACAACGGAAATGTTTGTTTTACGTTCCCATTTAAGCCTAAAAAAGGAATAGTAATGTAATAAACATGCAAATAGAGGATGATAAATAGGAAATTAGTGAAATAAATTCAGTTTGAGTACGTTGTTTGTCAGCATTTCAATGTGTTGAGAAAACCTCTGAATACAGGTTAGACAATATAAACGTATTTCTACTACAACAAATTATAATGACCTTACTAATACCATCGATCTTTATCTTCATTGAAAAATATATACAAGATGATGTATTTTATTACTTATCCTTTCCCTGAATTTGCTAACATTATTTCATGACAATTTGTTTTTATTTTTAAATGCATATTTAAAATCTACCCATAAATAGTACATTGAGTAATTAAGGTAAACCTACCAGTTATTGACACATTTAGAACGAAAAACTTCATTAAAATATTCCTACTCTGCATTTATCATACTTGCTGAAATCAAAATTTGTTTAGGGAGTATTTTGCAATGTTGTTGATGAAATGGAACGTTCAAATAATAAAAAGAAACATCTTTTCTGTTTTATTCTAGTGAGGATATAGAACAATTTTTTTTACCCAGTAATTGACATACTAATTTTGAAAAAATCCATTTTTCCTAATTGTTGACATAAGAAAATCCCAAAAAAGTAATTATTAATGATATTTTAACTTTTTATAAAAACTAAACTATGTATTAAAAAAGAAGAGCAACTTAAATAAAAAAATAGTAGGTATTTAAGGTGCTTCAAATACATTGGTAAGCTTTAAAGTTATATTTTAGCATATCTCCTGTAGTTACAATCTTAGGAATCTCTAATTTACCGAATATATCTAAAAAAATTATAGTTGAAACGTCATTTCCGTCAGTTTTAAAGTTTCCTATATTATAGTTTCCTATAGCAATTGCACCAACAGCATCTACTTCTGAAACTTCAGTTCTTCTTGCTTATTGATTTCTATGTCATCTAAGCTGTCACCACTTTCTATCCAGGCTTCAGAACTTTCAGAATCGGAGATTTCTTTTTTCCTTTTATTAATTCGATCTAATTTCTTTTACTCCCTTAGAAAAGTTCTTTTCTTTTTCTTTAAGTTTTCTGGATCTCATCTTCTTTTTTCTTATGCTAGTTTTGCCAGTTCTCAAGTAACAACTGATGGTACTTTTTCTTTTTTGATTTTCTGACTTTTTTGCTAAAACTTTTCTCTCTTTGGCTGAAGGAAAAATGCTGTTTCATTAGCATTAAAAATTCTGTATGGTTGATCAGCAACATACAGTATATTCTTGTACATTAGGTATCTTGTAATTTCTTCAAACCAGTTTCAAAGCTATAATTCCGTGACACCTTTTCTAGCTGGTGTTAAAGTTTATCTAATCCTTTCCGAAGTTTCAGGATGCCTACCTAAAAACCTTATACCATTTTGGCCCAGGCCTTCCATTTATAAATTTGGTATCTCTTTTGGCTTCCTTAAGTATAAGTTCAACACTGTCTATAAGCTATGTTTTCGTAAGTGGATAATGAATTCTAGAACGTTGTAGCATCCATTGTACCAAAATGTTTTCTTCCTCATATGTGCGGGTTGGAGAAGGACCCATAGTGCAAACTTTGAGATATTTTCCTTTTACTTTATATAGCAAAGTTATACGTGGTACTTGAAATTATTATGCAGCTGCAGCAACTGCGCTTCCCCTTCTAACGGCTAGAAGCGCTGCAGCCATTTGATCTAGACTATAATTTTTTTTCGGAGCCATTGTTAGTAGTAAATACTGTAGAAATCCAATTATGAACATGTAGTATATTTTGATTGGAAGGTCTGCAAAATTTTTGTGTTTGAAGGTTTGCTACAACTCCAGAGTTATAAGCCGTAAGTCCATATTGGTTTTAGTATGACTTTGTAAACCACTATTTTGTTATGACTTTCTGCTAAGTAACTAATTCATTTGTTTTAATTTTATATTGAGCTGAGTTTTTTGGCGTTAATGTGTTGCTCCCAGGTGAGCTTTTGGTCCAAAGGCAACCCACGATATTTCAAAACGTGTCTAGCATTGTTTAGACTAACTTATTATGGATGAATAGGTGCATTTTAGACTAATACTAAGTACAATAAAATAAGCTGTATTGGTGTTTTGAAGAAAAAGTAAAGCATTTTTAAAAATTATTATTGTACTTACTGAGAGAAATGTTGTTCTGCTTGTGTTGGTCGACTTGTCCCCTGAGCGCCCGGAGCTTGCGCAGCTTGAGTTCTTGCGCGTCGACCCGATCCCTCAATCTGCGCAAGCGTTCGCTTTCGGCATGGACGCGCTGTTGCCGCGCCTCCTGCTCTTTCAGGTACCTCAGCCGTTGTTCTTTGGCAGCCAGCAATTGGTGCTGCGATTCAATCTGCGCTTGTTGCTGACACGCCATTTCGCGCAGCTCACTTAACGTCAACTGCACTCCCTCTGGTAGCTGAAACAACAAAACAACATTTATTTATTGCCGAGACGTTTGAAAATCAAAAAAATAATTATAATATATTAAGTTTTATGTAAAATCTCAAATACTATGATAAAGTATCACAACATGAAAGGAAGACAAATGAGAATTGGCTGTGTGCTGAAAACGACATTGTGTTGCTGTAAAGTATATGTTTCTTTTTCGATAGTTTCTTTTCTTGTTGCAGCAATTCCTTAGTATTTTCTATAAACGATTTTTTTATACTGTGCATGACAAGCTTTATGAGTTGAAGACTTCTACAAATTGCTGTACACAAGTCAATATAAAGAAAATAGCAGAGAAGACCAAGTACCAGAAATATAAAGGAAAAAGGGCATTGTCAACTGTAATGTATGCCTCTTTAGGACTGTGGGACATAATATAACATAAAGTTACTTACGATAGGTTTTGTTAAGCTTTATAAAGATATATAAATTAACATTATTATTCCTGTTCACATAGAGTCCACAACCTAAGTGTGTTCTCATGTCTGGTTGTCATGTCACGACTGTCACTTGTGGTTCCGTTTACCAAGTGCAACGTTGCCAAGTACATGCGTTCATGAGAACCATACATAACAACCAAAGATTAGAACTACAACCGGAAATCACAATAGACGAAATAAAACTAGTCCTAAGAAAAGCTATAAAGCAGCGTGACACACAATGGGATCAACAGTGACGAATTTGACGTACTTACTGGAGTCAGACAGGGATGCGTGCTTTCTCCGTTTCTTTTTAACATAGCTCTAGACTATGTTCTCTCCAAACTAGACTCTGACACAAGAGGGATACAATGGACGTTAACCACATGCCTAAGCGATCTAGAATACGCCGACGATATCGGCCTGTTAGGACAAAGGTTCCAAGATGTGGCTGACCAATTGGAAACACTTTCCACTGAAGCCAATAAAATAGGTTTGAAAATCAATATTGGTAAAACCAAATCCATGAGATTAAATGCAAGAAACAACACGCTATTCACCATTAATAACATGCAGATTGAAAATGTGGAAAACTTTACGTATCTTGGAAGTGTCATAACAGAAAGCGGAGGTACAGAAGACGATATTCGTATGAGGATACGAAAAGCGCAACAAGCTTTCAGCATACTCAACCCTGTTTGGAGGTCTGGAGAATACACTACAAGGACAAAGATCCGCATATTCCAGTCAAATGTCATGTCTGTACTACTTTACGGATGTGAAACCTGGAAAGCGACAAAAACCCTTACAGACAAACTGCAGGTCTTTGTTAATAAATGTCTACGAAGAATTGTTCGTATTTTCTGGCCTAACATCATCAGAAACGAAGACTTACTACACCTAACCAAACAAAAGAGGGTAGTAAATGAAATAAAGTCCAGAAAGTGGGGTTGGATCGGTCACACATTCCGAAAAAATAACTCCAGTATTGCAAAGACTGCCCTAGAGTGGAATCCCCAAGGAAAACGAAAAAAAGGTCGCCCAGTACAAACTTGGAGAAGATCCATCATGGACGAGATAAGAAAACAAGGAAAGTCTTGGAATGAGGTGAAGGCCTTAGCGCAAAATAGAACCCGATGGCGCGTTTTCACTGAAGCTCTATGCTCCACTTAGGAGTTCAAGAACCATATATATATATATATATATATATATATATATATATATATATATATATATATATATATATATATATATATAATATATATAAGAAAAGCTAAAAATAACAAATCTTCAGGCGAAGAGTTTGCTTAAGTGGAGACCTAGATTAGACAAAAGAAGTAGAGGAAGATCCCCTACTCGTTGGACAGACGATTTCAAGAAAATGTCAAGAAAATTAAAGATTGAGCACAAGCTTTGTTTAAATGGAAAAGATGCTTCAGTTCTATATCAAACCATAAAGGGGATATCTTATTTTTAGTGGTGATCAAAGAAACATGTTGGTTTATATATTCATATAAAATATTGTAAAACATATCCACACATTTCTCGACATTCAAGCATCTTAATTCAAAAATAATTGATCAAAATTTATCGATAAAAATATATTGTTTAACCTTTCATAACCTGCATCTAGAATATCATACTTTTTCTCATTCCCAGACATGCAAACAGGAGCCTCCAGACATATACCAATAATAAGGGCTGGATAATAAGCATCACAGGGGACCAGAACATCTTCTACAACCTCAACTATTTATAAAACAGTAACTGAATTCCAAATCTAGCATTCCATTACAAATATTTAACTTTAGATGATAGAACTGATAGAAATTATGAAGAGAGTAGTACTCAACAATAACATTGGCTGATGGTCATCCTTTAATAGCGGCCAAACCATCGATCTCGTTGGTCCAGGAAATGTTAGAAAGATTATAGTCACCAACGCAGTATATAATATCGTCAGAAAACATGTTACATACGTATTCTAAAGCTAAGTGAGCTTCGTGTACTTCAGAACTTGAACTGGGTGGAATGTAAACACTGCCAATACAACATTTATTCTGTATAATAACAAATAGTTGTTCACAATAAGTCATTCATCATGAGGAATGTTAATTTGTGATAGGAAACAGCAGTTTCTTACAACAATAAAATGTCACCACTACGTGTTTTGCACAATAAAATATCTATTTTTCTAAATACTTCCTAAATAATGATATGTATATATAGATGTGAAACTGTATACATAACACACTGTAAAAATCAAAGAGGGCTTAGTTATCTATCTCCAAGGGTTAGTTTTTATCATCAATTACAATATAACCATAAATATAACTTAAATCCATCAAAATCACTTCCTATTCGATATTTTTACATTAAGTAAAGGCCATTTCTTGTCACAGATGTCAGCGAAGACGCCGAAAAGTGCCTGTCTTACTGGAGGCAACAAAAAATGTGACATGATAGATATGACAACTCTATTTCGTTGTGGAATATACGAAATATATTCCATTTTCTACTACGTGGAGCCAAGGAGGAAGAAATACGTTTTGTTTTTCCACGCTAAACCTACATCAATCGATAAAGAAAATAAATGTATTTTATATGTAGGTGTTAGAACTAAAATATGTGGCTATATTATGTGAAGTATATAGAACACATTATTTTATCTGGGAAATAAACTGTTTTAATATCTTTATAAGGCACTGAAACGACTTTAAAAAGATATTAAAGTACAGTTAAGGTAAGAAATATCATGTTAGCGGAATTAATAAGTTTCTTTACCAAGTCTACTTCGTTTTCCCAACGTTATTTAAAGTATATATTAAAGCAACCACAAAAGATTGTAATGCGTTTACAATGAAATGAATAACGAATGAGTTTTGTACAATTTTTTGTTTGCATATGATCACGATTTATGGTAGAAATGGTTAGAAATTTACTATAAAATAAAATATTTGTTGTTAATAGATAATAAGTCCATAATTTAATGTTCATTGCACAGAAATTCAAGTTAACCAAAAAATGTAACTCAAAGGTAATCTACATTTAAAGGATTTTTAAACATATCTTTAGTGGCTTCAAACATGTACATCAAGAAAGCACTGATGGTGGAATATTAATGCCAAAAACGTTCCGTGATGTAGCCCGATAGGGTTTTTTATTAATATACCTTTTACAAAGGATACATGGTGTACAGTCAACTACAGGAATTTAGTTTCTTTGTGAAATATTAAAATGCTACAAAAAAAAATGGTTTCAAAACAAGATTACCTGGATATATTAAAAAATATATAGGTGTTGTTTTATAATAATTGTTCGGAAGCTATTTTTATGTGTCATTTTAATATTATTTACTTTCTTTACATGAAAATAACTATAATTTCAGTTGAAAATACATTTATTTTGACGTTTATATTTCTACTTAAGAAATCGTTTTCAAAATACTTTCGATTTAGAAATGTCAAGATCAACGTATTTTCAACTGAAATTGTAGGTAACTTCCAATAAATATAGTGAATTACTTTGTTTTGTTCAATTTTACTGTATTTTTTTGTCGACTAAATTTTTCAAAATAAAAACTGCTGTTACTATTAAGTTCACTAGATTTTAATAATAATAAAAGAGCCCCACTAACTAAAGTCTAAAGCGATATAAAACAACTTAATAAAAAACAAACCTAACGTTCTGTATTATGTTAACTTCACTAAAATCCGGAGCACTAGCTCACTTGTCACATCCTACACAACTAAACACATTTTTCGTTCTTTCCACAAACAGGGCCCTTCTTTCACTTCGAGTATGTTAGGTACCTAAAACCTATTATTTGGCGACACTCAGGTCAATGAGGAATTGAATTATGAGTTTCTGGGACATTAACCAGATAACATGTGTCTTTATGGCACTGCGAGAAGAAATAGGGAATGTTTGTATCGAGAGTTATGTGGCTGTAATATGTTACTGTATCTGACTATGAAATAAAACATTTAGGGTAATGTCTTGTATTATTAGAAGGAATTTGTGAGTACATTCTTTCGATTTTTGTTTTTAAAAAAGTGTCTGTGATATGATAATATATATACGAGATAAATTATTAGACAGGACAAATAGTTTAGTGAATGCTAACGAATAAAAAGCTAATGAATTATATTTATACAGCTCGGAGATCTCGAATCATTTGTGTACAGCTTTGATAAATTCATTAAAAATAGTTGAATTTAATATAAATATGCAGATCATATTTAGTACATTTCACAAATTTTCGACAATTTTGAACTATGAATGAAAGCTTAAACGGTCCGATATACTGAATTCTATTGTTTCTAAATTGCATTTATTGATAAAATAATAAAAATAACACTAAACATTTTCTTGATGAGAAAATGAAATCATATATAACCTTACAGTGTAATCATCACCATAGTCACTGTTGTTGTTATTTTCATAACTGATAACTAGGTTAATTGCTTTAATGCGATATTCACGCATCCAACAGTCTTCCACTAACTTTTCACAATTATGCACACTTTTTTACCAAATTGCAGGAGTAGCAGTATTCAAAGCTTCTTACCATGTTTCCACAACTGCTGCGTCACTATTTAAGCGTTACGTCCAATATACCTACGGTAGCAAGTTTTTCATATTTCCTATAATATGTTCACAATTTGTCGATAGCTCACTACAAGTTTAACCCTAATTAAAGAACTGAAATACAGAAAGGATAGGTAATACGATATAATAGTAAAAACCAACCTGAAACTAGCGTTTTAAGATGTTTCAGACTAACTCACCTTGTATCTGAAGGAATACAATACAGCAGTCAACCTTATAATCCGATTACGAAGGTATTTTGGTTACAGATGACCGACCAGTGTCGTACAGTATATGATTGAAACTTTTATTTGAACTAAATAAATATATTTTTTAAATTGTACTTATATCAGGCGAAGTTGTATTAAATTAGTCGCATAAAGAAACATATAAAAACTATTAAAGAAAACATACTATTAAAGAAACATTTCCGATTTTAGTTCCTATTTACAAAATCGTATGCCATTCTTATGCATTACCCTCCGTTTTTTTTATTTATTTTTATATTTTATAAATATTTTTGAAAAATTTAAACGCAGAATGAAAGATTACATTATTACTGAGGGCAGAAAGTCCCTGAAAACTTCTACAATGTTTATTTTAATATGTTATGTAACAGGAGTGAAAACAAAAGAGAAAATATAGTATAATTTTTAATTGAAAATATTGCATGCAAAAGAAACTTTATTTATTCTAATAAATATTTCATTCTGCCTTTAAATTTTTTAAAAATGCGTTTTAGTTTTCTCAGGATTTGAAAAAAATGGATACACAAAACACATTGAAAATTTTGACAGGCGACATTTTGCGCCTTTCCCCTTTAATACCTTACGATTACAACTACTATTCTTACCTTATAGAATTACGATTAGAAAACTATTCAAATTCAAAATAAATAGAATCAACTTCGGAATCCGAGTCGCCTTGAGGGTTAATAATTAGCGGTTGTGTCTCTACGGTCGCATCAATTATGTTATCAAGATCCTACATTTTTTGTTCTTCTTCTATAACATGTCTTACTGCATCTTTCCAGTTTTGTTCTGTAATATGTTGTAAAGACTCGTATAACAATTCACGTACAGCTTGTATTTTTGTATGACGTATTTTTTCTAGCCACATAACTTTTCATTTGTGCCCAAATGAGTTCAATTGGAGTTATTTCGCAGTGGTAGGGTGGAAATCTAAGGACAGTGATGTTTCGCCTTTCCGCTAGTTTGTCAAATACGTATTTCTTGAACTTAGATTTGTGTTGCCGGGCAATTTTTAAAAGTTCTGCTTTTACCATTCCATCTTTGTAAGGCAGATACTTCGCAGCCAGTCAAGAATATCCTGTTTCTTCCACGCAGTCGTTGGAAGTCTTTCTACTAGTCGTGAATGATAAGGTGCATTATCTAATACTATAATTTAATGTAGTGGTATGTGTTCAATCATCTGCTCAAAAAACTCTTCGAAAACATCATCTCCTCGTGATAGTCTTTTGTGCTTGTGGACTGAAATTCCCACAAACCATGCTTAACAAATCGTTTTTCACTGTCAATTTGAGAAATTATTAATCTACTGCCTTTACCAGACGGTGGGGAGATACCAGTAGACCAAGCTTCCATAAAGGCTTGCCTGGAGCTTAATATATTTTTATCTGACCAAATTTTTTTTAGAGAAACTTCGCGAGTAAGTTTCGAATATAAACTGAACAGACGAGGCACGTGGTCAAAGCCGGCATCTTTATACCCATCATATTATTAAAAATCTGGGGAATTCCATCCTAATTATCTTGCAACGAATAGTACCTTCGGATATGAATTCCAGGTTTTCTAGTAAAGTGTTTAAACGCGAAGATTAGTATTGAAATATCCAAAGAGATAAGATATTCTTATTTACAAAATTGTTAACCAACATTAGCCGTGAAAGTTTTAATTGTTTTTTGCTAAATATATTAGTATTAAAACATTATTAATATTGATAATGAATAAACACCTCAGAAACGCCTATGATATAAATTTTACAATCGTTTTATGACTTTGAGGCACATTTCGTGCTATCAACAATTTGTGAACGGAATATAAATATGTTCAATGAAATTGAATTTACAATTGTTAGGGGACAGTCTTATATCCAAAACTATGTAGAATGTCCTCTAGTATAAATATTTTTGGTGTTTTATTGGTTATTTGGCTAACTGTAGTAATTCCGGCTTGAAAGAATCAAGAAGAAATTGTTGGTTGCTTATTTAAAATTTTCGACTGGTATGTAATATATGTCCCTTTCCCTCAGGATCGGTGGCACGTATAGCACAAATTCATGTTTCGTCTAAATAAACAAATGAAGCGTATTCTGTTTTAAAATTATGATACACAGTTTCTTGAAATTGATGATTTTTTGTGAATGAAATCGTCGTTTTACACACAAGATCAGGTTAATCTTCTAAAGGAAACAACCAAAATGCAATCATCCATGTCGACCCACACAAAACAAAACTACGCAAACAACAAATAAGGCAGTACACCAT